GGCCATACATTATACAGCCATCTTGGAGACTATACACCATCTCCCTTCCTTTCAATTCATCACTGCTTTGAAGTACTTGCAATAGAGGAATGAGTTCTGCATCAGTTTCAGTGGCAGTAATTTTAAGAGTTTCAATCTGCTGTAATTGAAAAATGGTTACATCACCCTGAATAAGCTGTTGCCCCGAGTTCATCGGTAATCATGATAGAAAGTCAGCATTACCATGCTTGTTTGTTTTAATGTAGAATTGGAATGACTGTAAAGTGCAAGAGTCTTGTTGCTGCCAAAACTGGAATGCCTTTCTTTGAGCCAAAAATTGCAACAAGAGGTTTATGATCTGTAATTAACGCAAATTTCCTGCCTTTTAAGTACAGAACAAATTTTTTAGTTCCCTAGATGATTGACAAGGCTTCTTTATCTGTTTGAGAATGCTTTTTCTCCTTTCAGTTAGTGTTCTAGAAGCATATGCAATTGGCCTTTCTGTTCCATCAGGAAGTTTGTGAGAAAGTACTGCACTTAACTCCACTGGTGATGCATTGGTTGCTAATGTTAAGGGCAATTTTGGATTACAAAGCATCAAATTTTTTTGTAAACACAATTCTTTTTTAATCCTTAAAAAAGGCCTCTTTGACAACCCCTCATTGAAACCCATTTTGAGTTTTTCTCAGTTAATTGGTATAAGAGATTTGCGATTGTTGCTAAATTTGGGCAAAATTTCCCTTAAAAATTTACTAATCAAAAAAAAAAAAAAAAAAAAAAAAAAAAAAAAAAAAAAAAAAAAAAACTTGGAATTTCCTGCACATTTCTGGGTCTTGGGGCTTTTGCAATCACTAATATTTTCCCATCAGTTTATGTAAACTATTAGCATCAATTTTATGACCTAAAAATTGTATTTCATCCTGGAAAAATTTATTTTTCTCAAAATTTAATTTTGGTCCATGAGTTAATTTTTCAAAGGAATTTTTTAAAGTATTTAGATGTGCTTCATCATCAGATCCTGTTATTTGCGCATCATCCATGAAGACTTTACACCCTTCCATTCCTTGGAATAGTCCATCTATGAATTGTTGCCAGATTGCCAGCACTGCATTTAGCCCAAACATTAATCTCTTACACTTATATAATCCTTTCTGTGTGTTTATTGTTACCAATTTTTGAGTCTCAGAGTGTACTTTCATTTGCAAAATAAGCATGTTTAAAATCAGTTTTTGAAAATGCTTTCTCCCGCTCAAACATGAAAACATTTCCTCAATGGTCGGCAAAGGGTGTTTGTGTTTACTGTCACTGAGTAGTCGGCACACAGTCGTATAGAGTCACCCGGCTTAACTACTGGTACTACCAGAGTTGCCCATTTCAATGTTTCAACCTTTCCGATTATACATTCCTTTTCCATGTGTTCAATTTCTTCAACTATCCGGCCCTTTAATACAAAATTTTGGTGAAACATTTGGTTTTTATTCAAGTTGAACCTCATAATTTTTTATCTCCCCTAATTTTCCATTAAAAATCTCTTTATGTTGTTCCAATAATTTATTTAAACTACTCTTTTGAGAGACAGAAATTGACATTATCGAGGTCCAATCTAAATTTATCTCTGAAAGCCATTCACAACCAAGTATTGTATCAAGATTTTCTTTAACAATGTAAAGATTTAAATTTTTATTTTGACCTTTGTATTCTACATTAGCTGTAGTAAATCCCAAAGGTATCAGTTTTACTCCATTATATGTTTTAAATACAAGACTGAATTTTCTTTTTCGAAATTTGCCGGAAATTTTTTAAACTCATTACTGATACTGCACCCCCTGTGTCCAGTTTCATAGCTACTGGTTTTCCTTCTGTGTTCACTTGGATCATTATGGGTGGTTTCCTATTTTTCACCTCACTGGAATTTATTCTGTTTATACGAACTGTGTTTTCATTTCCTACGTCTAACTGTTTTTGTTTTTCCTTCATTCGTTCGGCGTTTTTAGCATTATAGCATGATCTTTTAGTGTGCCCGATTTTCTTACAAAATCTATAGATACTTGTCTGAAATTAGATACTTGTCTGAAATTTACAAGAATTTTTATCATGGTCAGTCCCTGTGCATTGCGAACACATTTTGCCTTTAGTACTCTTAGTTGAAAAGTTTTGCTTTTTTAAACTTCTGTTTTGGAGTGACTGACTTAGATTTACCTTTATTCCTGGCACTAAATTCCTTAATTTCCACTGGTTTCCCAATTATTTCGTTTGCACCTTTTAATGCTTTTTCCATTACCAAAGCTATTTTTAAAGTGCCATCATAACTGATGTCATCCTGCTCAAAATTTCTATCTAGAGTAGTCCTATCTCTTAGCCCACTAAACTCTGCCATATACACACTAATTGTTTCCCCCTTATGCCGTTTTCGATTTAAAAATACTTGCCTGCTAGGAATTAAGTGGCTTAGGGTTTAAATGATTTCTCATTGTTGTTTTTAACACATCATAATTTTTATCAGAAGGATTATCAGGGGCCAGCAAGTTTTTTAAGAGACTATACATTTTTCCAGACAGACTGAAAATCAGTACTTACCCACGCTTGTCCTGTGAAGCATTTTCTATATCTAAATAACTTTTGAATCTTTCTAAAAATGAATCAAACCGTTATTCATGTTTATTATATTTTTCGAACTGAACATAAAGTTTAGAACTATCTATTGGTGAAGTTATAACTGAAGTAAGTCTCTCCATCAGAGTTTTATTCTGCTCTATTAGCTCAGTTACCAGCTGCTCCATAGTGGATCTTCCGAAAAAAAAAAAAAGTGATAATAAAATTTTTACCTTGAACAGACCTTGGGGAATTCCCTAATCCAAAAGTACTCCGATAGCATTAAAAGCACATCGCGAAAGCACTTCTTGCATTATTTTCAAATCCCAAATTCATCATCGCAAGATTTTACTATGCCTTTAGTGTGTAACCATTTTAACGCTGTATTTAATTATATACTACTTTATTATATACAAAACGCATCATCCCCCCACTCGCATGTACACTCCTACTACCGGCATTCTCTGTCTTGGTTCTGGTTTTACAATAACTTTGCATGCTTGGTGATGCGTGGCACGGTGCCAGTTAAAGTTCCATTCCGATTAAGTTCCCGATACACCACAGAGGTCTATAGAAATACGAAAAGTCTAAGAGAATTTAATCCTAAACCTTATGTAAAAACATTTTTGGATCATCACTTGGTTTTAGAACCTCTTAGAAGACAACTGGCATTTATTTTTTAAATGGCTAGGTGCCATTAGCCTTGCGCCACTGCAAGGGCTGGAAGTAGTGGTCATTGTGGAAACAACTAATAAGTGGTCACCATTGTCTCCTATGAAGAGAAGGACAGTTACAGCCATGCCTTCTCTGGGATTCGAACTGGTCCCATCGTTACGGCAGTCAGGGTACCACTGTACTAGCTGAGTGGCTGATAACTGACATAAAAGTAGAAGAAGAAAATGTGTAGCAGCTTTTAGCATAAATTAAGCTACATGATGTAATCTACTCATTATTTTCTTTAATTTCTGTGATATTTTGTGATACTTTTGCTAAGTTTTAAAGATATGTTTTTCCATTTTTAAATTTTTTTTTTTTTCATGTACAGTCAAAAGTCGTTAATTCGGACACCCATAATCCGGAATGATCTATAATCCGGACCTCAAAGCTAAAAACTTTCTGCGCATGCGCCGCGTTGACGCTTGCGCATAGGTGTTTACGCGTGCGCATAAGACCTTTACGACTGCACATATGGGTGTGCTCAAGCGCAGAATACGTTTTCGCGTGCGCGTTTAATGCATAACGGACGGTATAAGCTGAAATTATATAATTATCTATTTCAGTTAATGTTAATGATTGCATTGTTCCTTAATCTTCGAATTGGATCCGCCTTATTATTTTTTGCAGACTGTAAGAGCAATTTTATAAAAGTAAGCTTGAACTTTCGATTATGTCAAATAGAATTTCTGATGCTGGAGCTCGCAAAGGATCTACAAAACGAAAGTATGTTTCGATGTCCATCAAACAAAAGTGGAATTGCTGCAAAAAATGGATAATAAGGCATATCCTTTGCTTATCTAACCGTTCCGAAATCTGTTTATCAATTTCACGCTGCTCTGCGCGGTGGGTGGGGGGAGGTGGAACGTCGCGGCGCGCAATGAACTGGAAGTTGATCTGTCAGCACTATCGTTATCTTCAGGGCAGATGTTTTTATTTTATTGGGCTTATAATTCCTTACTAAATGTAGTATTTTATCTCGATGTACTCCGTCTTTGATATGATTTAAATCAAATTCCTCGTCATTATAAATATCACGAATACAAATCAAATAATTTTCTGGTTGCAATTTTCTAATTTCGGCTATGCGAAATGTATGCTTTATGCATGCGCGCGTTGAAAGATATGTTTAATAAAGTAAACAAATAAATATTAAGCTTTTTTTTTTGTAAATTTTGATACCCTTTAGATCGTAATTGCTCATTATTTTATAAATTACGGTTTCATATTTTTAATTTTATAATTTCTGCATGCCATCTTACCAGATTTAAACTGATGATCTATAATCCGAAAAAATCGATAATCCGGAATCGCCGAAGTCCCGACGAGTCCGGATTAAAGACTTTTAACTGTATAAGTATTTGTATTTTCTGTTTTTGAAAAAAAGGTATAATTCTTAATTAAAATTTGCTATTTTGTTTTTTATAAGAAAAAGTGTTCTCTGTTTGTTAAGATTTTCATAACTCACTATTATATATAATGAATGAAAAAGTATTTGCACCTCAAACACAATTAGCAAAAAATGTTTGCTCAAAACTAGTAAATTCCAATTTAATGAGAGTAAGTTAGGTTAATATTTCATAAGGTATATTTTAGCACATATAACAATATCTTAATTAGGTAAAACTTATTGTGTATATTTTTCTATGCAAAAGTACATAATATGGATTGAATATGCAACATATGTTTACATGTTTCTGCATAATGAATTGTAGGTTACTGCTGGTCCTGTGAACTTGTCTGCTCCTATTCATTGGGCTTCAGAAAAGAAAAAATGCTTTGATACCTTTCTTGTTTTTACTGATCTTCTTGGAAGTACTGAAGATGGAGATTTATTATCTGTTTTCAGGAATTACAAAGAAAATATGAACTTACCCAACACTAGGTAATTATACTGTGTATTTAAAAAAATATTTGGTTAATATTTTCAAATACCGTATTTGACGGCATATAAGATGCACTTTTTGTTCCTAAATTTGGTCTCAAAAAAGTTACCTGCGTCTTATACGTGAAGGTAATTGCATTCAATAATTGTTTATTTGGCTTTTACGAAAAGTGAGAACTAAAAGAAACCACGCTATTGAAACTTTTTTTCCTTGTGTGTGGCCGTCTAAATAAGGGTGCATCTTATATGACGTCAAATACGGTATGTAAAAATTAATTTGTATCTGACTACTATTTTTCTGTATAGTTTTTTTTTTTTTTTTTTTTTTAAATTTTTTATTTCACTTTATGCTGAAAGAAATTTTTCTTGGGAATACATTGAAAATGATTGCAGGTAATGGTAAAACATATTGAGTTGAAATGTATGTAGACATACAGAAAATATATTTTTCAGAAAAATTAGATTTGATTATAAATAATAAGTTTGTAAAACTAGAGTATAGAGGATAATATAATAATCAAGGGTATTATGAATGGGCCATTATTTCCTACAGGGTTGCCACGCTACCTGGAAAACCGGGAAATGTCAGGGAATTCAGAAATTGACCAAAAAATTCAGGGAAAAGTCAGTTAATTTAAGTGTTTTTGTCAAAATCTGGAAAAGTCAGGGAATTTCATACAACGATCCCGCCAAAAAACGCGAGTTTTGCGCATGTTTTTTGGCGAATTGTGTATCACGTGAGTGTCATTCGGGCAGCTGGCATAGAGCCAATTTTCGCACCTCCAATTTGATTGTCTTTTTAGAAAGGCAAGCAAGTTTCCCGCAACTTTTGGTTTCCAGTAACCTCGAGAATCGAATGTGCAGTGCATGAACTAAAGAAAATACCTGTTCTCGTATAAAACAAAATGGGTTTAATCCTAGTATACGGTACCATGAAGGTTAGAATAAAAAAATATGTATTGTAAAGAAGGAAAACCTCTCTGCAACAGACGTGGCTCCGTTCCATCTTAGAGAGAAACAGCTGTGCATGCGCGATATATCTGTCGCCAAAGCTTCGAAAACCGGTGTTCGAAGTTTGAAGGTCACGTTATCAAGAGTTCATAAAATGAATATCGTTTAAAATTTCTTTAAACTCTTTGAAGGAAAAGAAAATATTTTTGCCGCAAGTAAATTAATTCATGGATTAGTTATTTTGAGGGGGAAAAAAAAACTACGAAAATCTGTTTTTAAAACTATTGCGAAAAATCCAAGAAAAACATTCTTTGATAAAACGTTTCTTCTTGGGTTTTTCATAATAATTTAAAAACGGATTTTCGTTTGCCGCAAGTAAATTTTTGCCGCAAGTAAATTAATTCATGGATTAGTTATTTTGAAGGGGAAAAAAAAAAAAAAAACTATGAAAATCTGTTTTTAAAACTATTGCGAAAAATCCAAGAAAAAACATTCTTTGATAAAACGTTTCTTCTTGGGTTTTTCATAATAATTTAAAAACGGATTTTCGTAGTTTTCTTTTTTGTCAAAGAACGTTTCTTCTTAACATGTGTTTCTCAATTTCCTGAACACATCGCGGAGAGGGAAATTCTGGCTGTTCCGTCGTCAAATCCCTTGGCAAATTTTCCCTCCGCTTTTTACATTGACGTTCTTTGGTCAGAATAATCTCCATGTACGGTACAGCGGGATTTGGCGACATGATGATGAGCAGTAAACGGGTCATTTTGTTCTTCGCGACAGTTTTCAAAATCATGCGAAGGCCATATTGTATACTAGGATTTTACCGCAAAATCTTTTTTTTCTTTTCTTTTCTTTTTAATAAATACCTTGTCATTTTGCAGTAAAATAAAAAAATAGTAATCAATCATCTAGGATAACCATATATAACTATATTCGCTAAAATATCGTTGATTATTCTAATTCAATTTTTAAGTAATTATCTTTATTTTTATGTTATTCATATCATTTAATGTTGCTTCTTCCCTCTAAATTTATTTATCATTAGTAAGTAATATTTCCAAATTTCAGGAAATTTTCACTGGCATAATCCTAAAATTAATTCTAGCAGTATGATGACATCACGAAATTTAATGCACATATTTTTTCCTTATGTATGCTGCGTAATAAATATAAAATACCTCAATTTAGTAAAAAAATATCATTAAATAGATTTCTTTCTTTCGTTTAGCTGCAGAATGTCTGCAAAAAAAGCCTTATTTTATTCCAGATTGGGCAGATTCAAATTTCAATCTTCAGTGGAGAAAACAACTCCTATTATAATTATATTTGTGTTTTCAAGTGTTAAGGTGCCTTTTAAGAATACACCTCACACAAATTAAATTTACCTAAAATCTAACCTAACTTTTAGCATTGCTTTGTGATTTATAAGAACCGGATTAGCCTCATGTTGAACTGGTGATGATCATGAGTAATAATTAACTAAAACGTACAATTGTTATCCAATGTATATATCTTAAATTTTATTAAGTTTCTTAAGTGGAAATGTAAACAAAATTATCAAACAAAGTGTACCAAGAATAATTAAGAATAAACGTCCTCTGGGATTTATTGAATAATTAAGTGAATTTGCTACACAGTACAAGTAATACCATAATTAATTTACCTCTTAGCACAGCCAACATACATTACGCGGATAGACTGGAACTTTCTCGAAACATACCTGGAAAACCTGGAAAAGTCAGGGAATTTCATTCTCCTCTTTGAGTGGCAACCCTGTCATAAGTAATAATTAAATAAAACGTACAGTTGTTATCCAATGTATATATCTTAAATTTTATTAAGTTTTTTAAGCGGAAAAGTAAACAAAATTATCAAACGAAGTGTACCAAGAATAATTAAGAATAAATGTCCTCTGGGATTTATTGAATAATTAAGTGAATTTGCTACACAGTACAAGTAATACCATAATTAATTTGCCTCTTAGCACAGCCAACGTACATTATGCGGATAGACTGGAATTTTCTCGAAACATACCTGGAAAACCTGGAAAAGTCAGGGAATTTCATTCTCCTGTTTGATTGGCAACTCTGTTCCTAGGTCTATAAACAAGTTTATAGACGTAGGAAATAATGAATACTCAGCAGTAGAACATTCATGTGGTCATCTTTAAAAGTTCTAACCCATTTCTGTACCATTTCATCACTTATTCTGTCGCATTGATAAACTTTATATTTTCCAAGTATGTATAGAACATAAAGCACTGTGGCTATGTTCTTCAGTGCATTTTGTGCTGCTTATAGCATGGGTGATTAAAAATATAATACTTTATATCTTTTGTATTGTTTGATTCACACAAGAATAAAAATGTGTGGTGTGCTTGAAAAATATTTCTTCTTTTCAGAGTACAAACTATGTATTAGGACTCAGCAGTAAAATATGTCTGTAAATTTTAATGTGGATAATGAAATTCTCTTAATATTGCTGGTCTGCTCTTACACTACTGTTTAGCAACCACCCTGGCAAAAATCCCTAAATTTTCAGAATGTGCCAAAATTGGCAGTCGTGCATAACAGTTCTTCAGTTTTCTCAACAATATTACTATTTTTGTATGCGTTCTTTTTGTGGCATTCCGAGTACCAGTGGTTTTTATAGACAAATTGGGAAGCTCAATTTAAAAATATCTGCTTATGATGGAAGAAATTTCGGTAAATTTTTTGTAGGAGTACAATATTATACCATAAAACCACCGAAGAGAACAATTGCTTTGAATCTATTATTATGATGTGAACTAAAAGAAAATAATAATAAATAAATAAAAAAGCTTAAAAATCAGTGAGGAACACAAAAAGAGCTAAATGAAAAGTGTGACGTAAAAAAGGTGCACAGAAATTAAAATACACCTCCTCCTCCCCCAGTAAATTCAGGGCAACTATTTGTGACAGTGAAGGACTTAAGATCATTAGTGATTTTAATACCCATATAGGAGAAAAATGCTTGCAATGCCCAGAATTTCAAATAAACACGCGCAGCATATTTTCAATAAATTTCTATAAGTAAAAACTCTGTTGTTCATTTCATACATTTTTACAATAACTAAACTTTTTGAATTAAGAACTTAAAATTTTTCAGTAACTTCAAGTAAATACCTGTACCTATGTTACTTATTTATGCATCATTTATTTAAAGCTTAATAAAATGTTAATTTCTAGTTAAATTAAACATTTTTTAGTATATACCCTCTGAAGAAGGGACACCTCTATTTAAGGAACAAAATGTCTGCTCTGGTGGGTGTCCATTATTGGGAGGTGTTACTGTATATTTTAAATTGTTATGTGTTTCCTTATTATTATTTTTTATTTATTCTTTTTAATATCTACGAGGCATATTTTTAAAGTAAGTATTATTTGGAAATAAATAATAGTAATTAAAAAAAAAAAAAAAAAAATCTTACCAATTTTATTTTTATAAAGCCTGTTTTTCTACATAATTTTTGGTAATATTAAGGAACTTATTGTATTGTACAATCAATATTTAAAGCCCTTATTCATAATATTCTGCCACCTGACTTGACACCCTCTGCAACATAGCCATTTTGACCTCATCATAATGATGGCAAAGACCACCCAGATGCTTTTTTCAAATGCAGGAACAGCAGGTGGTGGTCACTGGGATTGTGCAAAGATGATTAAGTCGTTCCCAGCGAAGCGTCGTGATGAGATCTTGAGTTTGTTAGCCATGTGTTATGGGAATTGTCATTAAGCAAAACAGTCACCCTACTCAGCATGCCATGCACTTGTTTTGAATTTCTTAGTGCAGTGTAGAATTTATTGTCTTACCCTTGTGGGGAATTGTAGAATTTGTCTCAACACAAGGCAAAAAACTCCACAAGTAATACTCCCTTCCTGTGTCAAAACACAGTACACATGGTTTTCTGAACTGAAACAGTTTGCTTGAACTTAACTCTCTTGGGTGATGATGAATTCTGGCATTCCATGAATTGCTGCTTCAATTAGTATAGCATTAAGTCATCAAGGTTTTGTTGCCTGTGACAGTTAGGCTTCAAAAATTATTACCTTCCTTACTGTACTGCTTAAGAAAAGTTAAACATTAAGTTTTCTGTCAACATTTTTGGTACCCAGTATGCACATAATTTTCGATAATTTAAGCGTTCGATCACAATTTCATACAAAATACTGCAGGATCACAATTTCATACAAAATACTGCAAGAAAAATCATCAGATAATGACGAAATCATAAAGTGTTTGTTCTGTTTCACTCATTTGTCAACTCTCTGCACCAAATATTCAGTAATGACAGAAGGTTGTTTACTTTGTTCGTCATCATGAACATTCATGTGGTTATCTTTAAAAGCTCTAACCTATTTCTGTACCATTCAATCACTTATATATAAAGTTTTATTTACACACTTCATTAATCTGATGATGAATTTCAGCTGCTTTCATGTTTCCAGCACTAAAAATGCTTGTCACCAGTCATATTTCTTTGTCGCTGGGATTCTCAGTCAGCAGAGGCATTTTAAATACTCAAAAACAAATGCTATCATGGTTGAAAGTTTCTGTAATGTCGCCTGTGGCTTTCCAAAACATACATAAACAGCATGCACATGCAGAATCCTTGCTGTTACGCTGCAATTTCAAAATGGGGCTTTAAGAAACTTGCCTCCTATATGCATAAACATCTAGCATTTCTCTGACTCTCTTGACTAAAAATATTGATGAATTCTACAATTCATAATCTACATTTTAAAGTAATTGAAATTTTAATTGAGTTTCTGATGAATGCATTGTATGAAAATAGTACTTCATTTTTTTTATATATATATTATGCAAGCCATTTGAAAATTTGGTACTTATGTGTTATCCCACTGATCGTGAAACTGTTGCCAAGGGGTGCTATTTATTTTGTGCCAGTTGTGGATAAGCATGACATAATAGCGTACTCATAACATGTGTACTTTCATTTGATGTAATCGAGACTGATTCTTGATAAGCCTCCTTTCCTTTATGTGAACAAGGATGTAAATTAATTGTTGTTGCTATATTTTTATCTGACATTTTAAAAGAAGTGATTAAAATTTGGGATCTGCCTCCTACAGAACAGAAGCAATGGATTATTCTAAAAGTAAAGTGATCATTAAAAAAAAAAAAAAAAAAAAAAGTGTTCTAATGGGCACAATATGATTAGCTGAATGTGGCTGACAAAATAGACTGGGACAATTACCTGCAGAAGTTTGTACTTATAGTACTCTTCTAAATAGAGCTTTTTTCAAAATTGGAGGGCTTAACAAAATAATAGAAATTGATGAGTCTTTTTATGAAGCATGTTGATTATTTATTAAATGAAAAGGCATCTATTCCTTCAGAATTCTGCAAGAATAATTGGTGCAGTTTTGGTGGGATCTTTGGCAATTTTCATAGTTTGATGGCAGCCAATTTTCGTAGGTGATGGGATAATACTTAAGTACCAAAAAGTATTATTTGTGACAATGTTTTTTGTAAATTAAATTACATAGTTAAAATTTTATTATCTTCTAGGTATTTTCTATCAACACTTTGTGATAAGGAAGCATCTTTTCCGTATAAGGAAGCATCCATGTTGAATGTTGTAGGCTTCAACCCCAAACTTATCAAGATAATTCAAGATTTTACATGTGGTATTTTTTAACCAAAGAAAGAGCCTTTTAAAAATTCACATATATTGTATGTATGCACACACACATACATGTATATGTGTGTATATATATGTGTATATATTCAGTGCTTGATATGTATATATGCACACACATATATGTGCGTATATATATATATATAGTGAAGCTTAGAATATGTTTTGTCTTGTACTATTGTTTGCATATACTACATGGGTGTGGATGATACTCATCATCATGTTCAAGGTTTTAGGCAATTTGAGATATAAAAACTGTATACTTTTGTGAATGACTATCTGAGGCAGACATATTTTGTAGGAAATAATGTACAAATTTAGATATTTCCGTACAGCTTCAAAGCATATTTTACAAAAATCAAAGCTGTATTTTTAGCTGTTATGAAATATCTTTTGAAGATGGTAAACTAGTTTTGCTGTTCTTTGGTATACCATGTAGAGGGAGGTGTCTTTTTTAAATCCACAAAACAAGGGTTACATTATAAGCTAATATGTTAAGCACTAAATGAGTTATGTGTATCTTTCAGTTTACACCACAAAATGTCACTAAATATAGCATTTCAATAATACTAAAGGTCACATGTTTTATTCAAAAATGTGATTAAAACAATCATACTTTTATATATCATTATATTTCGAAAAGAAAAATCGCTGTTTAAATTGCAAATCACCAAAATTAACAAAACTCCCAATTAAAATTAATGCAAACTAATATAATAAAGTATGCTGTAAATTACAAAAGATTGTTTTGAAGTGTGGGGGTCCAAGAAATTTTATGAAGACATTGCAAGAAGTTTAGGAAAGAATTTTCAGCCATAAATGTATTAACATTTTTTGATAAATGGGATGGACATTCTTTTTGGTTTGTTGATTTGTTTTAATAAATTGTATTAAAAAGCATTCTATTTATATACATTAATATTAATAAAAATAATGTCATGAAAAATTTCAAATGAAGGTTTTCATCTTTACCATAATTTTTTTAGAAAACAAATTCTTTAATTTTTAATATGCAGTTGTTAGATTATCAGTCTTTGCTCTCTGGTGACTTCTGCAGCCTGAATATAAAATTGATTATTCATCCTGACTGAGCCAGTGCTTGACATGTTAAGCAAATAAAGATAAGATAGATTGAATAAATGTTGTTACCTATTGCTTTAATGTTTTTAAGTAAGCATAAATTCTGCCATTTGTAAGCTGTTTTATATGATCTTTAATTGTTCTTTGCCAGTTGTTTCCATCAACTTTATAAATAGCATTCTCTGCTTAGTTGATGTTATTGTTTAAATGGAAATAATCTAAAGTGCTGTGATCGACCAGTGTGACTTACACAACTAGGTCTGCTTTCATATTATCATTATTCATATATTTTCATGACTAAAAAATCTAGCTCTTTGTGGTAGTTTTACTCATTTTGAGTCGATATTATTTATTTTGCCATTACATTTTTTGATTATTTTGCAGTTTATAGGTGCATATTTCTGTATTTGCAAATCAATTTTCTTTCATAAGCTGTGTTAGAATGAAAAAGCAATTAATATATATTATCTGTTATTAATATATGTTAATCTGAAATTTATATCTGTTTGTTTGTTTACTCTTTGTGAAGATAAAGTTCTAATTTTAAATTAAATTATAAAGTTATGCTTTGGAATTCTGTAAAATGTATTCTATATTTTAGTAGATGCTTTATTAAATCTGTTTATTTTTTGTATAATAGGATTTAATTGTGCAAATTTGCTACTTAAATATATATTTCTTAAACATTTACTTTGTTATATATAAAAGTGGATATGTTTAATTGAAAGAGAGCATGGGCATGAAGTAATTTGAATTTAAAGAAAGTGCCCATAACTGAGATAATTTCACTGTATAGATGCTCAGATAACATTATGCTTTCTGTGTAAAGTAGTCTACTTGTACAGGAATGAAACTTGTCATGTATTCAAAATTTTGGCGATTTGTTTTCTTAGATGTGGAGTAAGATCAGCAAAAGTCAACAAATTAATAAAATTTTTCTTTGTTTTATATTCTAAAAAAACTCAAATACTGATTTCAGCTTTATCTTTGTATAAATTGATTAACTGCAGAAGTTTCCTATTAAGCTTCATAAAGAATGCTGCGAAGCTTCCTTAGCATGCTGTGCCTTTTACTTAAAGGAAGTTCTCATAAGCAGACTGTGCAAATAAAATGAGGAAAAAAGGGGCAAATACGAACAATAATCATATGGAAAGATGATCACTATGTTATATTCTGAGCAGATGTCTTAATTTGAGCTGGTTTGAATAAAATAACATGGTAGACATATATCATAATATTGAAATGTATTTTTTCAAAAAAATTTTTTTAGAGTTTTTTATTTAGTATTATATTTTAATTGTTTCATTTAAATGCTTGATTTCAGTATTATTTTAAATTATTTTTTCATTAAACTGTAAATGTGTATATTTTTGTTGATTTAAATGCTTATAAATAATTTTAAACATTTAATTATGTATTTTTTACTATCTGAGAAATGTGTAATTAATTATATACAGACAAATTATTGTGAAATAGTTGGGATACTGAGTTGAAATTTCTAATTCAAAAATACAATTGGAATAGCATTAATAAGAGGAAAAAATATGGCCAAAAAATAATTCTAACTTTTGTTATGTGAAATGTTTTGATGGTGAGGTTTTTTTTTTAATCATAAAAATAAATGAAGAGTGTGGAAACAAAATATTTTGTATTAATCCATTAAAGTTTTCTTTTCTAAATGTAGAATTATTTTAAATGTGAATACAGTACTTAAGTATGTAGAATAACTGGTAAAAGTTGGAAGAATTAAGATATTAATCAGAATTTTCAAAAAATTGAATATAGAAAGCCAATGTTTCAATGTATAGTATTCCTTATTTAATTGTATATTGTAATGCTTTTGTTTTAATACATCTCAATATTTTTTTATCACTGTTATTAAAATTCTTTTAAATGAAATAGAAAACATTGTTAACATATTGTTTTTTTATTAATGTTAAAAAAATTAAATATAATGAGAAAGATGGTAAGAATCTCCCTATGTTTTTTTTTAATCTATTTTCTATTAGTTAAACTTTCATTGAAAAAATATCTAAAATTTAAAAAATCACAAATGCACTTTGAACCCTTTGCTTTGCAATGTATGATTCATTTATTTATTATTAAAAAAAGTGTTTTTTAAACCTACTAATTTAATTTCTGTGTAGTAATTTTGGCTGAAATTATTACACATTTCCTTGAGATGTGATTCAAAGGTTTTAATTATTTTTCTTTCTTTATTTTTCCATGTTATAAAGTATACATAACTTGTAAAAGTAAGCAAAGTTTTTTTTTAAGATTTCATTAAAACAGTTTATAGAATTTTGCCTAGACTGTCCTATATCTTGGTTGCAGTTTGTGATCACTGAGCTAATTCCTAGGCAGTATTATTTTACATAAGTATGCATGACATTTTACCTTACAATCTGTAAAGTATTGTGATAATCTTTTTTAAAATTTTTTGAAATGATATGAACATTTTTATCTGGTTGTGATATTTGTTATAACTTAACATTTGCTACCTTATCTAAACTATTTTTTTCTCACTGCATTTTAAAGCTTTAAGTATCATTTTAATGAATGGAAGGCTATGAAACAAGGAATAAAATGAATAACTATGCAAACTTCTTAACAGTATCTCAAACTGTCAGTCACTTCTTAGCATCACTCTCTTTTGAAGATCTATCAAATGTGATAAACCATTCATGTAAGTAAATGCAACTTCAGATGCTCACTTATGATTCAGCTCTCGGTATTAGATGTAAGCTCCGTGTTGAGGGATAATTGTACAAACTCAGCTACCCCATTCCCATTAGGGTGGGTTAAAATTTCTGATGCCTTTTTTTTAGAACCAGACCAAATCCCTGGCTGCTAGGATTAATCTCACAAAGGATGCAGAGCATATTCATATGCACTGCATCATCACACTACCCATTCAGATATCTGATGCCACTACCCTTTGAAAAAGCATAAGGTGCTCTTTGGATTGTAGGAATTGGGCTTGTTTATTTCATTCCCCTGCTATGCCAAGACTGTCAGAGTACAGATCTCTGCCAGTACATCCTCTGAGAGGAGCTTTGTAGGATTAAGATTAGACACTTAATACTAGCATCTTGAATGTTTGCTAAAAGAAAAGGCTCAGGCAAAGAAATAGGCTAATAAAGGAAGGAAAGAGAAAATACAAATAGATATCTACCACTAAAGTATTTTATATCAAACAATTCTGGGGAATGCAGCAGATGCTTCAAAGATCATGTGAATGGTATGTGTTTAAATAAACAATAAAATAGAATTACTACTTCATTATGAAATGCAAAAATACTGTTTGTGTGGACATATTGTTTCTAATCCTTTTAATCTGAACCTACAACTAAATCAGGTCCACAAATATTTTTATGCCATGAAGCTAGGCTTGTACCTAGCCATTCATTGGCTTTGAGCACCTTGCCTTAGGTTACAATATGAGTTTGCCTAGCTCTATCCTAACTTTACTGAAGAGCTCGGAGGGGTTACAGGTTTGAGGAGTGCCCCTATGCTGTGAAGGTACTGTTCATTTTTAAATATCAAAATCTACTCCAGGATTCGAATTTGGAACCAAGGCTATGGCAGCTGAGGTTCTCTGCAACCTTTCAACAGGATGATTTGTATGAAGTGAATTTTTTTTTCTTTTTCCATTATGAATGATGTGACACAATTTAGCTTATGTGAGAAGACATAGTAGGAGTCCTGACTTGTTGAATACTTCTTTCAACAAAAGAGTTTCGAAGCTGATGTGCATAGCTAAACTGGCATAAGACATGCATCTATCTTTAACAAGTTTTCCTACTTTTCATGTTTTTGAAGTAAACAAGGAAAGCATTGATCACTGGGAGGCAAGATGGAGAAACACAGAAGAAATATGCAGTTTTGAATATGAAGGTTTAGTTAAGAGTGGCAGTTTTGGCTTGACTTCATTCCTGTTGGCTAATTTGGGTTTCAGCTTGTAGATTTTAATAATAATCCTGGCTGAAGCGATCTGCCTGTGAAATAATCTGCATTAGTATTGTATAAAAGTTATATGATATGAATTAACTTTGAAATGATGCAGTTTAAAGATATTTATTATAAGCATATTACTTATTTTAAGATAAAAAGAAATAATCAAACAAATAAAGGAGACTTAGGGGCTATTACAAATTAAAATTAGGATTTTATTTTACATATTCTTTGCCTTACACACACACACACACACACACACACACATATATATATATATTTATTAATAATGAAATAGAACACAGTTTAAGTTATTTTTTATATAATGATAAAATTCTCTTATGTATTGGGAAGATCACCAATGAGCAGAGCAAAAACGTTTTAACTAAAATTTTTTGAAAGTAGAACCTTGAATTTCCTTTAGCCTAGATGATGGTACAGAATAGAAAACAAACATTCAGTATATTTTTTTATGAACCAATAGATTTGTAAATGTTGATCCATTCACAATGGACGAAATGTTAAACATAATTATGTTACCAAACATTCTGTGTATAGTGAGTATTTTGTAGAATGTAAATCATTTGCTTATTAAATAAATCTTTTTTTTCAGGATTTAGATTTCATATTATTTCCCTCAAATTATAAGTGAAACAATTTTTATGTGATTTTATTTATTTTAACATTTAGTTATAAAAGGTATACTTATGTTATTAATTACAAATATTTACTCTTTTATATAAAGGGATGCTGACTGGTCTCGAAGAAGTGATAAGGTCTTAGCCTAAAGGTTATTCTTGTCACTTATAAATGTGAATCTAAATACAGTAAAGGTCTAATAATCTGACATACAATGATTTGAATACCTGATAATCTGGTATATTTTTGCTAGCATTCCTTCATAAGATAGTGCTACTACCATTTAATTTGATAATATTTAGATAGGCTAGATAGTTAGTTTGCCATTTTTAGTTAGTCCTTTGTTTAAAACTTTGCTTTTGTATGGTGTTTGATTTTTTTTTTTCAGCAGTTCAGCAAATCTGGATGTTATTTTAGTTAGAAAAAGGGAAAACAAAAGTATTATAATGAAAGAATGTATGTTTGGATCTTCTGTTCTTTGTGTTATCAAGACAGAAAGAAATACTACAGAATTCTTGTTTAAAACTAAGCTTGATCAACTGTATTGTATAAACTGTGTATAAAAAGATCTGATGGTGAGCCTAACAAAGAAGTGATGTTAATTGAAAAACTAAACAATTCATCAAGAAATAAATTTAATAAATGTAGTTGTTTGTTTTTGGATAGATGGCATATTAATTTTAAAACAGAACATTACGTTTGCCTATGGCATCATGATCAAGGAAAATTTTATCATCTTTTCAAGAATAAAATGCTGGGAGAGACTGACATTTTATGGCATTCTTGCCAAATTCTACATTAGTAGATTTTGAAGAGAAATATGCAAAAGATATTGAATTTGGAAAAGATTTTAAATAAGTTAATTATTTTATTATGTGAAAAATGTTTCTGGAGATCATAAACCTTTTTTTTTATTGGGAAATACAAAAAGCCTGATTGTGTTAATTTGTAATTTATAAAGCTGAATTGAATGCATGGATAATTGCTGATTTCTTAAAAAAGGATTTTCCCACCCATTTATACCAGTTGTTAAAATTTTTTAAAATTTGGCTTTTTTAAGAACTTTTAAACTTTTGGATAATTGCAGAGAAATTTTATAACTTCTGAACTTGTATTGGGAAACATTACTGTAGCATGTAGATGTTCATATCTAATAGGTGAAAAGGTTATCTTTTTAGATCTATTTTATTTATTATTTTTGGTTGCTTTATTTTTGACTTTGTTACTTGCCTCCTACACATTAGTTTTCCTGTGTTTTAAAATTATTAGGTTAATTAAATTTTAGATAGCTTATATCCTTCCGCAAAGTTTGTGATACATATAGGTAGCATGGTTGTCCTTCATTTGTTGTCACACAGGCTAGTTCCATTGTGGTCTTACAGCTAAAGATTGACTTTGATTTGGCTAGATGCATTGGGACCTCACCCTTGAGTGAAATAGAATCGAATCAAAGTTCCTACCAAAATGTAGCTGTTTTGATTCTGCTTGTGGGTCAAGTTATTACCCAAAACTTTAAATATAAATGTAGGAGTTCATTTTGCACAAAATACATTGAACTCTAATTGGGCAGTGTTCAGTAAAAAAAGATTTAATTTTTGCAGTCGCTGTTGCTTGGAAATGTGTTAACAACAGATGTTACAAAAAGCTAAACAAAATGGCCAAAAAGACATGATGCAAAATTTTTTTGAAGAAGCAAAAATATTGATGATCTGATGTGCAACCATTTCGAGCCATTATCCATGTTTTCAAAAAATAAAATTATTTAATATATGGAAAGTGATAGAAAGATAAGGATGCGTCACATTTGGGGGAGTTAAATGACATCATCACAATTAAGACTGTTGAATTTGTTGTTGGCAAAAGAAATAGAGTGTAACTAAGAAGTTAAAAAATGTATAATATTGGAGAAATAAAAAATACTTGTATTCTGCAGAAAGATTTTTTTTTCCAAGGAAAAAAGTAGAATTCATGAATCAGATAGACATTCAACCTTAATTTGAAAAGACTTCATACTATGGTATAGTGATGATTTCAAAGCGAAAACTGATTAAATTTAATAACTTTTAAGTATATTTCTATATTAATAAGTTTGGCACATTCAACATGTTTTCAAAATTACTATATGCAATTTTTTCATTCCTCAATACATTGAATAAAGTGAGAAAATTTATCTTGCTGTAGTATACAATTTTAGCTTATTAATTTGGCATGTTAGTTAACCTGGCATTGATAACATCTCAAATTAGTGTGCATTTATGATAAAATACACATTTTATTTTTTGGGCATTAACTGGTGCCTTTTGCAGACCAAAATTGTAAATATTACCATTCACCATTAAGTTATCCTGTGTTTTTGATTTTTTGCTCAAGAATTACTCCATATGATCCTAAATGTTTGGATTTCAGAATTTATATCATGATAAATGGGCAGTCTAATGCATTTTCTTGAAGTCTTATTAATCATATTTAAATTATGATAGAAAATTATTTCTAAAATGCTTCATTCTCAGCAAATATTTTCATGAAATCATAAATTAGCATTGATAGTGTAAGAATGTTAAAAAAAACCTTACTAAAAATGGAATAGCTATTCAAAAAATATTTTTTTAATTGGATCATTAAGTGCAGTGGAAGGTAAATTTTAAAGGGGGCAGTTATATTAACATTTTCTAGTTTTGAAATTGCCAGATTTTCATGAAATTTAATCCATCTGATGATGATGGTGATTTGAAACTTTTGGTTTATTAAAAAAAAATTTAGTATTGGAAATTTTGAAGTTGCGTACATTATACATTGATTTAACAATTTTTTTTGGGGGGGGGGAAATTTTTATTTTTTAAAAATTTAGAAATTTCTCTGTTAAATTTTGACCACTATAATTATTTGAGAAGATTCTTCAATCCTTTAAACCATGCAACAGTATTAATATGTAAACCTTAAAGTGATGTGTTACTTTATCGAAAACCGCATAGTTATATATTTTGTGTAGTAAGGTTTATAGAATTGTGAAAAAGTTTGTGTTCTGTATGTAACAAATTTGCCCCCTTCTTATTTATGAATTTCCCATTTTTATTTATGAATAAAAATGGCTGAAATTATAATATCTCTGGGCAATATGTTTTTTTTTCCCCAAATGTCATTGTATTAATTTTATGAGTGGTAAATCTTTTTTACTGTGCTAGAAAGCACCATCAAAATAAATAGCAAATTGTGCAAAACATATTGTAGATTTTAAATTATATTAATTTTAATTTGTATTATATTTTACATGTAATTCATTCTACAGATAAAAAAGTCAAATATATAATTAAACATTAATATGGATGTATAATTCACAAAACAAAACACAATTTAAACTTAAAAAGATTTTTTTCATGATATATCGGTCTGGAACATGTGTCCATTGCATTGTTCTTTTGAATTTAGGAAGAATTTTGGTAATGGTTTATTAGTCTAAAAGTTGTGGCCATTCCATTGTTCCTTTGAATTCAGTAAAAAAATTTTTGTGTTTATATATTCTAATTGTATATTGATCAATAAATAAATTTATTTATTTTTGTTTTAGAAGTATATTAATTTCAGATTTTTAAAATACATGTTTTAGTTTCATTATACATTGAGGTTTTCTCTGTACATTTCTATTTTAAATTTCTGCTATTTAAGCTGTGATTAAAATTGTGCAGGATGTTAATTTTCAATTGATTTTTAACAAGATATTTTAATACTTATGAAAAATTCCCATATGTTAATTATTATGTCATCAAAAATTAAAAATTTAGTTGTATTAAATTTATATCTGAATGTATAAATTATGGTAGCTTGAAAATATATGTTTTTTATATCCTCATTATTAATTTAAATTTATTAAAGAAGGAAAAGGAGGTAGTGAATTTATTATTCATACTGATTTATTATGTAATTTCTGTATGTTTGCATAAAATTGTTCATATATTATTTTTGTACATTTCATTGTTGATCTTATAAGTAAAAATATAAAACTTGATTCACTATTAATATAAAAATAGTTATAAAAACTATCACACTGCCATTTACTCTAACATTTTGTTACTATCCTGTGATTAGTTTACAGTGATCTCTTTTAGTTTTTCTAGCCAGTGTTTTTGAGAATTTGTAAATGTTATTTTTGAGTAATTGTCCATTACAATTTGTGTTAATTTGTATTATAAGTCAGTCAACTTGACTCTGAATGTAAAAGTTGAAGCGTAATTTTTCATAAGTGGTTGGGTTTTTCAATCAATTGAATCAATTTGACCCAATAAATAAAGAATTTTTTTAGCTCTAAAATGCTTTGATTTTATTTTTGGTTACATATACAGTTTAACATATTGTTGGCAGACACTTAATAGGACTAGTGCTTTTGTCCATTACTTGGGAGTTGGTCTTCTGTTTTGAAGATTATAGAATTTAAGAACTGTCTATCGAATTGGATTGAGTTATGAAAAATCACACAAAGACTTTCTGCCTAAGGAAAGGAGTGTCTTCATAGAGGACATTTTTTTTTATGAAAATTGGATCATAGAAGGAAAATCATGAAAACTGTCATGCAGTCAGACAATTCACCGAGTTCAAACCCAAGTCAAAAATACCTGTGTTTGGTGATCTCAGCTGGGCTGCTGGTTGGCAGGAACTGTCTGTTAATGGAGATTAAATTACATATATTTGTTGTTTCTATTTAAAATGCTTTTTATTGGAATAAATAAAGATTATTATTGAAAAAATGTAATCCAGATAAAAATGTTATTTAAATACATTTAACACTTCGAGGACTAGAAATATAAATTTCTGTTTTTGTGTGTGTGTGTGTGTGGGGGGGGCTAACCTATTCTTGCAGAATACCATAGTATTTGATTATTATCTCAAAATTGAAAAGCTTATAATTTTCTAGTGTAAAAACTAAAATGTTTGATGAATTATTGAATTTTTGTATTTTTCCACAATTGATATTCTGAGTATTTGTTCAGAAGCATTCAAAATGCCAAGGGAATAGAACAGCTATTAAATGATTGTTAAAAATGAGGATATGAGGAAACTTGTCTTATAGCAGTTACTGTACAAAAAATCAAATTATCCATTAAAGAAGCTCGAATGTTAAGCTTGGAAGAAAACGGAATGAAGTAGTGGTGAAGCAAAATCAAACAATTGTAGGCTATAACTCTTCTACAAGCCGTAAATTGTTTCACTATGAGGGACGAATGTGGGAGGGCATGGAGATGAATTAAGAAAAATATTATGGAAAAGGAACAAAGAACCCACCCCACCATATTCTGCATGTACAGGATGGATCCTTTGCAATAAATTCGTCTAAATTGTATGTGCTAGCATTTATTTTTCCCTTTTCTAGCAACAGCCTCATCGGTTACCGAGTAGTAAAAGACTGATGAATGCTGGTAGGTAGTTCCAGATTCGGGCACCCAGATGGTATAGTGATTAGGGGAGCCTGACTGCGATACCGAAAGGCCTGGGTTCGAATTCCGGAGAAGGCATGGTTATAACTGTTCGTCCCTTCATAGGGGGCAGTGGTAGCCCACCTATTAGGTGCTTCCATAATAAACCACATCTGCCCTTAGTATGGATTAATAGACTCTGTTGCAAACTGTAACTGTTCACAATCTGCCATTGGGGGGAAGTTCCAGCTTTGAACTTAGGTGAATAGGGTGGCTGCATGGCTGGGTTTCATGGTTTCACGATATGCAATGTGAATATGATGTCAATTTTCCTTAGAAAGTTCTGTACGAAGGTATACCTTAAGAAAATATATATCCCTTGTGTGTTTTGCCATAATCAAACAACCTAACCCAACCCATTCTAGCTAACATCACTTTTTCAATATTTTTTTCACTACGAGAAGTCTAGGTGTACCACTTAGAGTAGCATCATCAGTGGAATCCTGCCCATACGAGAAAAGTTTAAACTATTCAAAACACACGTTGAAGATACGGCTTCGTCTCCTTAAACTTGCTTCAGCAAGCCAAGGCTTTCTTTTGCAAATTTACCGAGCTTAAATTAATATTTAAATTAATATGTCGCTAGTTTGGCGAGATATCGCCAAGCCGGCAAACGGTAGCCAAATTTGGGAAGAAATCGAGGAAAGTCGCCGAGTTTGGCAACATTTTGGCCCGGACCCTGTATAACTGTAATGGCTATTGTAAATGTTGTTCTGGAAGGCGGCTTTCATTCGCCTTCCAGTAATTTCCAGAAGCAGAAATTGCTAGTACAGTAAGACTTGAGACAGCATATGCTCTAAGTTATTAGTTCAGCGTGAGTTCGGGGTAATGATATATCTCCGAGTTAGGTTTGCTCTTTAGATGTGCTTATCATTGCGTCAGGTTTAACGTTTTTAGTAGTTAGAGGTGTAACTATTGATTGTACTTTTCGCCGGATCGAATTCCATAACCACACCTTATCTCCTTCGTTGAATCGATGTCCTGTACCTCTCGTGTTTCATCGGGTCTTCATCTTCTCCGTCGCCAAGTTTAATTATTTTCGTCCAAAATTGTACATTACTTCAAACCGTGCCAGGAGATATTTGATGTACTCAAATGATGAAGACGCATCCGGAAGGCGACCAAACAAGAGATCACAAGCCAGACGAAGGTCACGATGGAAGAGGTTCTGGGATGGAGAATAGCCGGTAGTCTAGTGGACAGCACTGCGATAGGCCATTGAAAAACAGATATCTTCTTGTGCCACTCCTGTTGGTTTCTGGAAACCACCAGCGAGAGGTTATTAAGGTTGGTCCGATTCAACCTCTTTACCGAGCCATCTGCAGTGGCGTAGCTAGGGTGGGGAAAGGGGGAACATCTGTCCTCGGGCGCAGCATCCAAAAGGCGCCATATTCATGTTACGAAATTTTTTAATGAGACGTTTTCCATTCTTGGCACACAGAAAGGGGCGCAAATTCTTCAATTGTCCCCGGGCGCTGGAAATTCTAGCTATGCCCCTGGCCATCTGACTAGGGATGTAAAGGTGTTTGGTTTTGTTAACGCCATTTTGCAGAGCCGTTTTATTACAGCTGAGAAAAAATTTCTTCCTTGACCGGAATGTGACTGAAGAGACACTCCGAACCTGGAAATCTAATGCTGTAACCTCTCCTACCGTGACAGTCTCTCCATTAGGAAAAGGCTATACTTCAGTAACAATTTAGTGAAGTAATCAATGAGAAAGAGGATGCATTTGTTGCCATCAGCAGTTTGCGGCAGAAGTCTTTAAAGATTCAATTAAGTAAGCTATGCGGTTAATATTGCTGTTTTTCACCTGGTCTTTCGTGACTTCTTTGTCACTCCATGGGTCAGGGTCAGACGATGTTGAATTCAAATCTTGATGTACTTCGGATTAAGCAAGTGGTATTTCGCTTCGATCCTGGAACAGCTTTCTGCGCAGGTCTTCTAGACAGGGCCTCGGCATTTCGATGTGATGATCTTATAGAGTCTCTGTGTTCTCTTGGGTAGCATACAACGTGGACTCTATGTATGATAGAAGATGAAGTAGCGAATTCTCGGCATGTCTTGAAGAGTAAGTATTGTAGAAGAAAGGTGTAAAAAAACCTTTACCTAACCGCTAGCTTTTCCATTTTGCTAAATTTTTAAGTTTCAATTTCTGAATATATTTACAACTAATTTTACAAAATTACACATGCTTTACATTCAGAAAGACACATTTACATTAAGGACAGTTGAAAAATACTATATATATATGTCTCCAGTTTCTTACATCAAAATCTAAACAAAGTTGCCAGGAATAAATAATTTTATCTCGCCAAATTGTATAAAACAGTCTCGATTAAACTTCAAAATTCAAAATTCCTGAAGCGAACAAAAGTTTCATAGAAAATAAAATTTTCAGCTTTTTTTGCTGCAACAACTAATAAAACATCGGAGGCAAAAACAATTTGATAACTCTTAACACGCACTTTGTATATTTTTAGACATAACAGTATTGAGTACTTAAAAATAAAATGAAATTTTATTTATCTTTTTGAACTGGAGTAGTCCGTCATGCGTTTCTGCGCAAACTGGGTCCAAGATGGAAATTTTCTTGTTGCGGTCACCTTTGGTGCCTGGATGGCCGTTATTCATCAGAATGGCGACCCAGTTTTTTTTCCATGGCACGATCTTCTATCCATCTTGATTTCATAGGGTATTCTCCGGAGTATACACGGAAGCTTTCGGAAGTGTACACGGAATTTTTGTACGGCCAGTAAAACAGCTGTTGTTTCAAGTTCTGTAGCTGTATAATTCCTTTGGGTAGAGTTCAACGTTTTATTGAAGAAAGGTACTGGTTGCCCCGCTTGGGATAAAACGGCTCCTACGCCAAAGCCTGATGCATCTGCAGATATTTCAAGCTGACTTTCTGTGTCAGGAACCTTTAGCACTCATGCTGAAATTAAAGCTGCTTTTAACTGTTCAAATGCAGCATTAGATTCCTCTGACCAACAAAATTTTGCTATTTCCTTTTTAGTGTTAAGAGAGGATCAGCTATATGTGCAAAATTTTTGATAAAGGATCTGTAATATGAGCACAATGCCAAGAAATGATGCAAGTTTTTTCGCGGTATTTGGCGGAGGGTACATTTTAATGGCGATAATTTTTTAATCTTCTGTGTCGATACCTTTAGCGGAGATTTTATATCCTAAATATTTCAATTCCTATGTCGCGAATTTACATTTGTTAGGATTCACTTTTAGACCAACATTTTGTAAGATGTAAAGACTTCCGTCAAATGTTTTATATGCTCATCTATCGTATTACTAGTAAGGATTATGTCATCTAGATAGATGAACTTGGATTTTCAGAGAACTGGCCGACTGGTAAGATTTTGTGACGCCGTCTTAGTAACATCCTCCGATTTCATACTGATTTGAAAATAGCCAGAGATAAGAACTAGGGTTGTTATATATCTCGTTGCATTTATTTGCCCAATTGTCTCCTCTATGATCGGGTAAAGGGTACACTTTATATTTTGTAATATTTTCTAATTTTCTGTAATCTATGGCAAAACGTCATTTTATACTTTCCATAGGGGGTAAATTCTTCTTCTTACGACATAATACGACTGGGCTTAGGAACGGACTACTAGAAGGCAAAATTATTTTATTTTTTTAGTATTTCCTTTACGTGCTCTTCTATAATTGTCTCTTAAGACCTACAGGATAAATTACCCCCTATGTCGATCGAATGGTTTACCACATGAGTCAGCCCTGGCAGGTCGCTGAAAAGATCTAAAAACTGTCTTACCACTTGTTGAATTTTGTCTTTTTCCTCCTTTTTCAGGTCATTAACTCCAGC